ACTCACTGCTTTCTCACACTCACAACACCTACCCTCACACATCTCCAGACACCTTCTCAGTTCCCCTCCTCACTCATAAGCACTCACACTTATGCCCACTACACACACACACACACCCATCAGACACTGTGCTGTTGGGCTCACACCCTGCCAGCTGGCATTCGGGCTCACACACTCTGCACAACTCTTGCCTGCCCGCCCACAGACATACTGGCAAATACACATACACACTTGTGAACACACTTTGCTCACCCACCTCTCCCTGCCCATCTGCCTTTCCCCTTTGTGGGTTTAACCCCACAGCTGCCCTTGTCCCCTCCCTCTCTGCACTTGTCCCTCATGCCCTGGGAAATGTGGGGGGTGTGAGACTCTGCCTCTAGAGCACTGGGAGCCTGGGCTGCATCTGCCCCTGTGGAGTGGGTGCATCCCAGGGACGGAGGCTTGGTGGGAGCCCCTCCAAGACACTGGAATAGTTGGGATCGCTGCTTCCAGCCAAAGGCATAGAAGAGGAAAAAGGATACCAGGTGTTTTTGTCTGCCTCTGGGGGTGGGCAGGAAGCCCCTGCCATCCCCCTATAGGGTACCACCACTCACCATTATCCTCTGCCTCGGAGGACTGAAATGTGGGAAATCTCAACTCCAGCCGTGGGAACTGGGTGCAAGCATTCCCAGCACTAGTTGCCTAAGTGTCAGAGCTCTTTCTAGCCCCAGAGGAATCCAAGTTGGCAGCAGAGTTAGATCATCTAAGGCAGCAGCTGTGGGGGCCCCTGTCCCCTGTGAGCCAGGCTGTTGTATGGGGGGGGGGAGACCAGGGCGCAGGTAAAATGGAGACCCTTCCTCCATCCACTCCTTCCCTGCAGAGGCCCCCAATCTGGCGGGGGAAGCTGCAGCACCAGTGCTGGGCACTGTATGCACAGGGCTGGGGGGAGGTTTGCACAAAAGGCAGCGAACTGGGTGATTTATTCTTAGGGAAAGAGTAAGCTCTGGGACAGGGGTGGGGGCATGGGGGTGGGGATAGGTGATGAGAGACGCTTTGGCTGGACTGGGGTGTGATGGATGAGTGGGATTCTCCAGAGGGTGCGGGAGCTTCCCAAGCTCTTCTTGGGGTCTCTCTTTTTGACAGCTCTGACTCCCTGCACCCTCTCTGCCTTAGCACGTTTGACAGTGACTGCTGTGTGTGTCATTTGTGCACCCTTCACATCCCTCATCTAATTTCTACCGATCTGTTTGGAGCAGCGGTAAATAGGAGAACGGTTATTCTAATCCTCAATTACAGATGGAGAAGCCAAGGCTCAGAGAGGAGACGGGACCTGCCCAAGGTCACACAGTGAATGAGTGGCTGAGCTGGGACTGGCCCCAGGGTCTGCCGGAAAAGACAGCGCTTTTTCCAGGACATCCATCTCCCTGTCAGATTCCCTCCCATTCAAGGGAACCTGGGAATTCCTCCTTCCGCTCCCCTCCTTGCTCCGCTCATTTCCTTGGCAAGGTTGAAACTTCCTCTGGGAGGGTTTTCCAAGGAAGGGCTTTCCTGAGTTTGCAGTCCCGAGAGATAGGAGGACTGGGGCTCTGAGGGTGATGGTCACCTGTCCCTGGAGCACCAGACCCCAAGGATCTGGGTGCCACTCTCACTCCTGAGTTCAGGAGGCGGTCCTCTGTAGGGAAGCAGGATTTGTCCTTTGTGTGGCACTTTCCACCTGACCACTGGTGCCAGGTGTGCTTAGGGGCACAGCTCTGTCTACCAGCTTTAATGTCCCTCTGAACCCTGGAAAGGTCAGCTGCGTGGCCCAGAGGAGGGGGGCTGGGGGGGCTAGATGGCAGCGGACTTTTCTCACCCACTGCCGATGTGGCTCTGGGCAAGTGAGTCACCCCTTCGGGGCTCCTTTTGTCCCTCAAGAAACGAGGAGGCCAGGCAACTCTGCAGGGGCCAGACTGCCTTTCCCCAGCATCGCAAGGTTCAAAGTCACCAAGTAGTGGCTGCCGAGGAGCCCACACGGCTGCCCCTCTGCGGGGCCAGGCGCCCGCCACCATAGGAAGGGTTTGGAGCCACTCACTTAATCACAAAAAGAAACTGTTATTAATGATAGTGAGACGCGGTGAATAAGTGGGTCATGTCTAATAAGCCATTTGTGTTCAGGAGGAGAATACCAATTTGATAAAAGCTGTGTGTGCTGAAAAAGCCCAGAAATTGCTGTTTAGCAGATTGGAGCCTGATCGTTTCATTATTCCTGGGCTCCGCATGTCCTGAGCTGATTCAGGAAATGTGGCCGGGTTAGGAAGGTGTCTCCATGTCTGGTGTGGGGGTGGAGGCGCAAGCAGGGGCTCCTGGGGAGAGGCCCACTGACTCCGACTGCTTGCTGGCTGCTTACCTCTCCAGCTCAATCTGAGCCGAGCCCGGCAGCCCAGCTAACGCCTTCTGCCTGCCCGACCGAGGGCTTGTCACAGGGAGAGCCTGTGGTCAGATGGGTCCTCAAGGACATCTGTCTCGCTTCCCATCGCCTTGTTACCTCCCTTCAGCCCACTTCACAGAGAGCTTTTTAAAGGCATGAAGAATGAATTGGGGAATGAATGGTTATGCCTTTTAGGGAGGCATCAGGACTTTGGAGGCTGGGGTGGTACCGTCAGTGTCTGCTCAGTAAATAGCAGCTATCTTGATTTTTCCTTATCAAAGAGGGTTAGCTCACTGCCATGAGCACAGTAGGGGTGGGAGGAAAGGGAACTAACATTTATGAAACCCTACTGTATGCTAGGTGCTGCCACATCCTGCCAGTGTTAACTCACTGATGCTGACATTATTCACGGAAGGCTGGTGTTGGGCACAAGAGGATCTTGAGGTTCAGAGAGGACCAATGACTTGCCCAAGGTCGCTGAGTCTGTACAGGGAGCTGGAGGGCTGTGCCTAGAATAAAGGTGTGCCTGGCAGTTCTGGGCCTGCCTGCTTCAGGACAGCCGTGAGGTGGGCTTGACAGGTCATGTGACAAAACTTGATCCCCAGCACAGTTCCTACCAAGCACACCCGCTTCCAGCTCCCTAGAGGACTCGTAAGGCAGTGGGCTCCACCAAGAGGAACCAGCTGCTCAGAAAGATGGCAGGATCTTGCTGAGGCCACGGGCAAGTTAGACAGAGTCAGCTGGGCTGGACTCCTCCAGTAACCTTCCAGAACTTGCCCAAAGGAGGGGTCCAGAAGGGGGTCTTTGTGAGGATCTTTGCAGACCCCCTGCCTTGGAATAAAGAGAGTTTATTAAATGCAGATCCAGGGTTTCCCCAGACCTATTGGAACCCTGGAACCTGCATTTTAATAAACTTCCCAGATGATTCTCCTGCAGCCTGGAGTTTGGGAGCCGTTGCCTTAAGTATTCACACATAGGGGCAGGAAATTGCCGGGTGCCAGGAGCTGCTGGTTTAGTCTGGTTTTGCAAGAGAGGGAGAGGTCCAGGCTGGAGTAGGTATGTGGACCCTGAGAGGAGCCCCAGGGAGCCTTATACTGCAACAAACATCCATCCTCCCACCCCGCCCTGCCACACACACACACACACACACACACACACACCTAGGCCAGCACCTTCAATTATTAATGCACCCCAATGCAGACAAAGATCCTGACTTGGCCGGGCACTTTGTCCACTGAGTGATTCACTGTCCTGAGGTTCTCTCTGTTGCCAGGAGGGAGTAGCGGGGCGCTGGGGGAGGGGTGGAAGCCATTGGGCCATTTGGCAAACAGCCTGTGTACTGAAAAATGACTGGCTTTCTCGTGTTCCTCGAGAACTGTTGGTATCTCGCCGTCAATAAGCTGGCTAGTTTGGTGGCTGGGAGATGGAGAAAATTGAATACTGTCTTCCGAAGGTTATGATGTTAAAAATGTGTCCGCCGTTGTCTTGGGTGTTAGTGATTATTCTATCAATTACGCCCGTAAACACTCTGCCTTGGGCTGAGGGTTTCCTGGCGTCCTGTGGGGAATTGGCCCTCACAAGCGGTTTTCCCCAAGTCCTTCACACCAATTGGCTTTGACACCTTGCCTATCAGCGGCTCCTGCGGCCTTTCCCCAAGCAAGGGGAACTGTGGGCGGCCAGCAGGATGGGGAATTCAGCTCATCACCATGGTGACAGCAGGGGTGTTGGGGAAATCTCCCACAAAGGGACAAGGTCAGGGTTGAGAGTGATCCCTTCCAACCCACCAGCTGCCAGGGCAGGAGATGGAGCACTTGGCATGAATCACCAAGGCTCAGACCCAGTCAGCAAGGCCCCTTGAACCATCTTCCTCAACCCCTTTCACAGAGGGGAAGACCGAGGCCATGGGCAAGAGAGCATTTCCCCGAAATTTCCTGGGAGGTATTTGACTTTTGGAATCACCTTATCCAAGTCTGTACAAATAGGGAGAGAAATACATGGAAGCAAATGTTTGAGTGTCATGGGAGGGCCTTAAATGGCCTCATCTCATTTGATCCTCAGAAAAAACCTAAGAGGTGGGGAGGGGCGCTTTCCCTGGAGGGGTGGTTGAAAGGCTTGCCCGAGGTCATGCACGTAGCAAGTGTAGGAGCCTGGATCTGAACCCAGGAATGTGGCTCCAGAGTACGTGCTCACAGTGCTGTTGAGGCCCCCAGAGAGAAGGAGGGAGAGGTGGAAGGACCAGGGACCATGGTGACCACATTCTGCACTGGGTGTGGGAGGGGAGCAGCAGCGGC